GAGCAAGAAGGGCTTTGGTGAATTCAAGGTGGCCGAGTAAAGCTGATATGTGTAATGGGGTTTCAACAAGGATGGTTCGCGAGTTAATTCTGTGCAAGATTAATGGATCTTGCTGTATAAGCATGTTCAAAGTTGAAACACTTCCTTCGTATGATGCCTCGTAAAGAACTGTCATTCTCTCATCGTCCTGATGATGATGAGCAGTTTCGATTTTCACGAGTTCCATCTCTCGCGGCAAATTATTAGAATCTACTATTTGCTTTACACCAAGTTAAGAAGAATATACTTAGAAACGTAAGTTCACGATAACTCATTCTCCAATTTATAGTTGCTGTTGATCTCTGGCCCCTCAATTTATTCCATTTGTATTTTACAATGTATATGTAAATTAACTAACTTCTGCGTTATTTCAATCACATGGAATTAGTTTTCTTTCGGAAGACCTTTTTCTGTGGGCATGTTTGATCAATCCAGCATTCTTCGTTTGTCATTTAAAAAACAGATAGAAAGAGAGAGATAATTATTTAACCATACCTTCTTTCTCGTTAAGTACTTCTATATATAGTATTTCCGTGTTGTTTTGTTTGATATATTATTATCTTTCTTTCTTTTTTATAGTTCCTCTAGGCCAACATCTCACAATAATTAATTTGTCCGACACATCAGGTTGATGTCATATGCGCGTCCTTAAGATCAGTTAATAATTCCAAACGAAGGTAAATGGAAGGGCTAGAACAACAAGACTACTATAATTTTATGGTCTGACCCATCAGGATCAAGTTCTTTATGGGCCTTCCATCAGGAACAAGTTGGAGCTTAATAAGTTGAGAAGTTCGGCCAGAATTCGACGGCCTCCAATTGTACACCACACGCAAATTATTATTAAAAACAGTATCCTCACATGCTGACTTGTACGGTTCAATAAAAGTTAAATACAATGACTCAGTTTAACGAAAAATGAATAATATAAAAACAGGAGAGATATAATTTAGTAGATGTGCATACAAATATGTACATATTATATATATATATATATATATATATATGCTTATTGTAACATATAATGTTGTTAGATCTGATATGTTCCTTGTAATAGCTAAATTCTGACAAGTAATGTGTACGTGGCTTAGCCAACAATATGATGGGTTAAAGTGGATCTATGGATAGAGTATCCAGTTTTTCTGTTTTTTTTTCCCCTCTGTTTTTTTTTTCGTTTTTTGTGACTATTTCAATTAATTTAACAAAATATTCTTTTAAAAAAAACACTAATGAAGTTAGATGGCTCAAACAAAAACCATACATCATACTCCTTCGGTCCTTAATATAAGAATAAGTTAACTAATTTAAGTAAATTAAAAAAATTAGTTAAGTAAGCTATTTGTAATAAATAAATATTGTTTTTTTTAAAATATCTTTGCTAATAATGTATATTAGCTAGAATTACTATTTGATGAAACATTTAACATGTATAACTTTTACAAGTATTACCTTAAAAAAAAAGAATAAACATAATAAACACTGGGGTCTTATGTTTAGAATTAAATTGAATTTTAAACTGATTCTTATACTAAAGCTGGTCCTTATTATAAGACTTAGTTGACTAATTTGATAAAATTAAGAAAACTAGTTAAGTTAATTATTTATAATAAATATATTTTATTTTCTTTAAAATACTTTACTAAATATTATGTATTGACTAAAATTATCATTTAATAAAAAATTTAATATGTGTAACAATTATCGAGACTACTTTAGAAAAATAAATAAATATTAAAAACAAAATAAATCAGAATATTATATTTAAAATCAAATTAAAAATTAAACTAGCTTTCATATTAATCACATGTAAACTAAGGGGGGTAGCACAACACAAAAGGATCGATGGTCTCTATCTCATGGGCTGAGTTCTCGTGTCTCCATTAGACCAATTCAGATGTATATCTATTAAACGTCCCAAAAAATTAACGCTCGTCATTATATTACCCAATTGGGAGCAAAAAAGAAGAAGATATTATTATTATTATATATTAAATCTTCCAATTATAGATAGCTTGGAATACAATAACTTGATATAATACTAACCATGTTTATACTTCAACTGTACATAATTAATTAAGTATAATGTTTTACTCTATTTGATCACCAGCATCAGTTCCCAAAATGATGAATATAACCAATAGTTATACTCCTCTCCCATCAACGAAAACTCAAGCACACGAAAGTAGATAGGAGCATTAATATTTCTTTTCTTTTCTCATCTTTTTCTTATCTTTATTGCAGATTTAAATTCAAATGACATTAATTAACAGAGCATCCCAGAAATAATAAAGCATGCAAATTAACCCTATTGCATTCCACTACTAGAAGAACAAACCACAATAAATAACATCATCTTCGTGTTCGATTCAAATATGAATTAAAAGGGGTAAATCACGATCTAAACCAAAAAATAAAAACAAGTCGGTGTATTGCTGGGGTATAGAATCGATGGGCAAGAATTGAGTTCCCGTCTTCCCGAGATGTGAAAAGTCTAGCTAAAATATATATAGTCGATGTAACTGTATTAAGTATCAAAACAGAAAGGTCATGTTTACATGTTCTAATCGATCGAATGTCTTGGATTTAAGGAGCAAGTCCCAGTTAATATGGTCAAAGCGTAAGTTTTTTTTTTTTTACACAGCAAAATTTTTATTTCTCATTTGCATATAAAAAAACATATTGAAAAATAGGTTAAAGTATACTTTTAGTCCTTTAACTTTACACAAGGTTTCATTGTGGTTCATTAACTTTAAAAACTAAACTTTTAGTCCTCTAACCCTAAAACTATTAACAAGAAATGATAATATTGAGCTCTTGAATACCAATAAAATATTATTAAATGCTAACATATTAAATTTAATATTCAAAGCAAATATAATTGTTACAAGAAGTTATCATTTAAAAGTAACAATTTTAGGATTAAAAGACTAAAAGTATATTTTTTAAAATTAAGGAACCAAACTGAAACTTTACGTGAAGTTAAAAAACTAAATGTATACTTTAGCCTAATACGGAACAAAAAAAAACAGACCCCTGACAAAGAGATCCCTGCTGTCGCTAGCCCTAGACTTAAAATTGAAGGTTTTGAGGCACATGTCTTTCAAGACGAAAAAAGAAAAATAAATTCTAAGGAGTCATTCAAAACAAAGCCACGTAATAAAAGTTTTATTGATAAACTGTACCTCAAGTCGCTTCAACATAATAGCTAAGCGGAGAATGGTGTTGCCGGCGTCATCAGAGCTTGTGAAGTCGATAAGCTCGCCGATGACGGCAAGCTCCAGTTCCACCAAAGCTTGGAGGGTCTCCAAATGTTTCTACTTTATGCACAAGTGAAAAACAGTTTCTACATTAACACCATAACTCAGGGATTCTGGCTTCGCTTTTACCAACTCTCTCACAACCTCTATTCGATCGTCCTCTCATAACTGCACAGTGTAGAGGAATTCTTCCTTCTTCATCACGAACCAAGCATGCTTCGTCAAAAACTTGAAGTTCCTTCACAATAATGTAGACATGACCCTCCGCAGAAGCCAAATGGAGGACTGTGCTTCGACAAGAGTCCAACTCAAAGGCGAGTTTTGAGTTGTGCATGAGAAGGGCCCTTGTGAATTCCACATGATCTAGCAAGCTCGTACGTGTAAAGGAGTTTCACAGAAGGCAGTTCTTGAAATCTTGAAGAGGATTAACGGTTTTTGCTGCACCAATGAGTTCAAAATTGATACCCCCCTCTAAGTGATGCCTCTTAAAGATCTCTCATTCTGCCGCTGCTATCACCTAAAGTTCTCATTTCTCTTGCACAAATGATTCGTTTATACGCTACTTATTATATATACGCGCACATTATTATGATGAAAAGTAACTTAGGTACTTATTATGTGAATTTCAACTCACTAAAACAAAAATTACAATGCTCTGACCATTATATGCTTTAAGATTATAAAAAACAAATTTCAAGATTACAACTGGATAATTAGAACAAGCAATACAGCTAAGGCCATGCAAGACCACGGGTTACGAAAGGATGAGATTTCTTCTCCAGCACAAAACATTTGACAATGAGATCGATAAACCTTATCGAATGAAGCAACGAAGTGGGTTAATTAAAGCTTGAAAGGTAATTGATATAACGGGTGATCACCAGACTCAGATTTCCTCGCATATCTTATACCCATTAATCATCCTTATATTTAAACCAAATTTCTATTTATTTTAAAATCTTTATGAAACAAGTTCTCTTCCAACATTTTGGTACTTTGTTTCCGGTACTGGGCGCGTATGGGTTTTATCAATTCTCCTTTCATCCTTATTTTGATGCCAAACGTTCATAAACATGACTTCTACACAAACACATCTTAATTTGACAGAAAACTTTAATTAATCAGTAGATTGAGATGAAAATAATTTTAAATTATCAAAATATAATCTCATTACAGAGTACAAACTACTCCTCCAGTCATAAATATAAGATCCATTTTGTATTGTAAATTATAGTACAAAATGGGTATTATATTTAGGACTGGAGGAAGTATTTACATTACAAAATGAATTTTATATTTAGGATCGGAGGGAGTATATAAGAGAAACGTATAACTATGATATACCATGAATTATTATCCTAAAAGCAACCCATGCCACTTGTGACCGGCGAGACAATAAATAGCGTTAGTTGAAATGTGATATATAAAGAAACAGCATCAACTCTACCAAATTGCACATGTCAACGGCGTTCTGATGAGTCTGGCACATTTCTTCACGATCCAAATTATAAACCGCAGTGTGATTAACACAACAATCAGCACAAGCAATCGAGACCAGGCCCGAATTGAGGCTGCAAGGGTGCTCCAACCTGCTTTATTATTCCAAAGATGGCTTGGCATCAGCATACAAAGAGCAGTTAAGTAGGCAAGGGCTAGGGTTGTGAGAGTGATACACATGCCTATGGATAAAAGGCACATCAAAGCTTAGTTCTTCATAGGAACTCCACTCACAAGCAAGAGGGTGACGCTAAGTGATGAAATGAAAGAGACAGCGTTGTAAATTACAAACTCCAAAAACAGATCTTGGAAACTAAAAGATGAGACAGCTTCCCGAGGACAATAGGACACGTTGTTAGGAAGGAAAGTGCACTTTAGGGCTTCAATATTGGATGAGCCTTGAGATAAACCTTGTTGGATGAAGCCACCAGGTGGGTTTATCAATGATTGAAATCTTATGGCGGCTATAACAGTAGACACTAAACTCAGATTTCCCCTCATTTCTTCTACCCAGCCACCCTTGTGTTTGAACCAGCCACCAATCCATTTCAAAATCTTTATGAAGCAGTTTCTATTCTTCTCTCGAGTTTGAGGTTTTGGTCTTGCAACTGATGGTGACGAGTGTGAATGCGTGTGGATTCCGTTCTTCTCAATTCTAATTCCAGAATAGTCCATCAGCGTGACTTGTATTTTTGAGGTTTTGAAATCTTTTGGATTACGTTTAAGGATGTCATAGGCTGTAAGACCCATATCGTTCTTCAAGCTTGCCATTTCTAGTACATTTGGGATTGATAGGAGGTATCTTATAGTCTGAAATAATAAACTTACATGTGAGTATATTGTGGAAAGTGTCATATATGACTTCGGGGTGGTAGGAAAAAAAAAAGACCCAAAAATTCACGAAAAATATAACTTGTTCATGTAAAAAGAAAACTCTTTATGTCAGGAAGGATATCATACCTCAACTTGCTTGGATGCGATTGCTAAATGGAAAACGGTGTTGCCCACTCCATCAAAAATTGCGAAGTTAAGAAGCTTACCAGAAATGGCAACTTCCGATTGGAAGTGTTAAGAGATTATAGTTGAGTGTACTGGGCCGTAAGCCCAAGATACTTAGCCCATTATGGGTCCATGCATTGTATTCTAAATGCCGGCAGTTTAATCAATAATATTCGCTTTGGTATTGTTCATCAAATCCAGATTGTCGTTATGCTCTTCTTCACATGGTACCAAGAGCCAGGTCCGGTGATTGAGCCCATGTCGAAGGCGAAAGTCGAAGCCCCAGTATCTCCTCACCTGTAGAAATCATTGCAGAGTTGCAACGCTGTCGTTTTAGAAACACCATCTGCAGAATGCAAAGTCAAGATCGCGATCTAACAGGGTTTCGCAATTCCTTCTGAATCAATATTCATCTCGCCGTTTTCACAAAGCTACGGCCCACCCAGAACAGTACGCGAAACCGCCATTTCAATCTTTTTACGGTTTCCTCATTGAAGTAAATCAAGAATCCGCTATCTATTGCCACAGCGACTCTGAAGATTTCAACAAGTTCGTGATTATCATCTGTTACGCAAGCGACTCGCTACAGCTTCCCAGATTTGTCCTCGTCTCACTAATCAAGTTTTGTAATCGGACTCAAGATCCTTCAAGAACTCGCTACAATGACAGAGAAAATGACCTCCAATGTTCCAGTAATCGACGCAAATCATCATCTTTTCTTACATCCATCCGACACCCAAGCGACCGCTCTGGTTTCTCAAGTGCTTACTGGTTTCAATCTTTTCTTACAAAAGTCAAAAGTGTTTTTTTTTTTAAAAAACAGAGGCATTTTTGTTGGATTGGAAACTCTAAATCTCTTTAAATCACTTCCAATCCAACAAAAAAATGTCATATACTCAAAAGTCACTATATAAAAAAGATTTATAAATAAAAACATAATAAGTCAAATCACAGCATATACATTAATTGTAGTGTTATATAAATACTCAAAAGTCACAATAATAATGTAACATGAAAGTATCTAGTACAAGTAAAATCACAAGGCCATTAGAAAGGACTGATTGAGATTAAAGTGAGTATTGACAGATACTTATGGGAAGAATCCATCGATCTTCTTCAAAATCCACAGTCTGGGAAGAATCCATCGCTCTTCTTCAAAATCCACAGTTCACAACTTGTTCCTTACAAATCCATAGTTTGCATGGTTTTGAAATGTAAACTACATATGAAGGAAAGGATCGTGCAAACTACAATTTAAAACTTCAGCTTGAAAGTAATTTCAACTCATGGCCCAGAACCCATAATGTACAATTTCAATGCACAGCATAATTCATACGAGAAGGTTCAAGAATTAACAATAATCTCACTACCTTCACAGCTTGCATCTTGTGGCATCACAGCCAACTTGTTTGTCCAACTTAACAAGAGCTTGCAATTCATAGGCTCACTGCTGCAAACCCGTAGAGTATTGTGCTAACATTTCTTCAATCAACATTTGACACTGAAAGTCAACAAGGAGTGAATTAAATTTTCAGAATGAATTTCCATAGATATAACATGATTTATATTTTCCCTAACAGCCTAAACACATGCAAAAGGATTATTTAAACTAATAAATGAATTCTGCTATCAGAGACTTATCAAAGACTTATATGCTAAGCATGTCCAGGCAGAGGGCAAACGTGATGCAGAGAAATTCAAAATTCAAAATCTAATTTGAAAAAAAAAAGAAGAGAAAAGAAGGGGACTGGGTTGTTATCAGTTATGACTCAAAATCAGAAAAGACAACCGACCTAATTTGCGTAACAATAACATAAAGACAACCAAATTGTTCTGCCTTCATAATCAAACAACAACACAAGCCTTATCCTACTAGGTGGGGTCGGCTACATGAATCACACGACGCTATTATGCTCTGTCAACAACCCAGTCCTTAGATATGTTGTTAACCAGGAGGTCTCATTCAATGACCTCATTAAGTGCTCTTCTCGGTCTTCCTCTGCCCCTTTTTATGGGACTCTATATTGTCTAATCTACCCTCCTCACCGAGGCCTCCAATGGTCTTCTTTGCACATGTTCAAACTATCTTAAGCGATTTTCAATCATTTTCTCTTAGATAGGTGCCACATCAACTCTTGCTCTGATATTTTTATTTTGAATCCTATCTTTTCTTGTATGACCTCATATCCATCTCAACATCCTCATTTTTGCTATCCCAACTTTGTGCTCTTTTTTCCCTTTATTGCCTAACATTCACTACCGTACAATATAGCTGATCTTATAGCAGTCCGAAAAAATTTTCTCTCAAGCTTCTCAGGTACCTTTTTATCACAAATAACTCCGGTAGCCTTCTTCCACTTTAACCAACCAGCTTGTATTCTATGAGAGACATCTCCATCAATTTTCCCATTCTCATGTATAATGGATCCTAGATATTTAAACTTTGATGCTTGAGGAATGATTTGATCCCCCATTTTCACCTTCAAATCCCCATTGTCTTGCCTCCTCCCAAAATTACAATGCATATATTCTGTTTTGTTCCTACTCAAGCGGAAACCTTTTGACTCCAAAGTCCTTCTCCATAACTCCAATCTACTGTTAATCTCTTTTGATTCTGCCATGAGAACTATGTCATTCGTGAAGAGCATGGATTTAGGGATTCTTTTTTGAATAGTTTCAGTTAGAACATCCAGAGCAATATTAAACAAGTATGGACTCAAAGAAGATCCCTGATATAGGGTAATCTTAATGGGGAAGTCTTTTGTCTCACCTCCAGGCGTTCTTACATTAGTAGTTGCCCCCTCATACATATCTTGTATGGTGTTGATATAAGCAACCTGTACACCTTTCTTTTCTAAAGTCTTCTACATTACTTCTCTTAGTACACGATCATAAACTTTTTTCAGGTTAATAAAAACCATATGTAAATCCCTTCTTTTACTCCCATATCTTTCCATTAACCCTCTTAGTAAATAGATAGCTTCTGATGTGGATCTTCTTGGCACATAGATAGCTTCCAATGTAGATCTTCCTGGCATAAATCCAATTAGTTTTCCGAAATAGAAGTCTCCAACCTCAACCTATATTCCATTACTTTTTCCCACAACTTCATTGTATGACTCATAAGTTTTATCTCTTTGTAGCTTGCACAGTTTTGAATGTCTCCTTTATTCTTGTAAATAGGAACTAAAATGTTTCTCCTCCAATCATCCTGCATATTTTTAGAGCGTAAAATTTCATTAAAAAGCTTGGTTAGCCACACCTCACCCTCATCGCCTAAACATTTCCAAATTTCAATAGGGATACCATCAGACCCAACGACTTTACTATTGTCCATTTTCTTGAGAGTTGCCTTAACTCTTTGATATGGATCTTGTAGTAAAAAGCAAAATTTTGATCATCTTCGTTAATTAGCAAGTCCTGTAATTCTTGAGTCGTGTATAATTGCTTCCCTCATTAAACAACTTGTAAAAGTAAGCCTCCCATCTGTCCTTAATATCACTATCAGTAATTAGCACTTTACCATCTTCGTTCTTTATATACTTTACTTGGTCCAGATCTCTCTTTTTGCTTCGCAATTGACAAACTCAATTATTTTTATATATTTTGATATCTTTTATATGGGTTTTGTCAACTTAATTGGTCCCTTTTTGCCTTAATTGATTGTTAATTGATTTAATATTTTTTATTTTGAATTATTATTTTATAGGGGCAAAATTGTCATATTTTGGTTTAATTGTGACTAATTGATTTTTTTTAGGACAATTAATGCTACCTTATCTTTAATTTTTGCTTGCAGGTTTTTGGAAGATTTTGAAAAATAAAAATAAAAAAATAAAAAAATAATTTAAGAAAAAGGGAGCAAAACGTTGCGTTTTGCTCCCCCAACCTAATATACTAATCTTCTTCATCTTAGGAGCTGGGCGGCGAAAGAAAAATTGAGAGAGGACACGAGAGGCACAGCAGCGTGAACAGGGAGTGACGGCGGGAAGAAAGAAGGGAAGGTCCAGTGTGCGCGAGAGGGACTTTTGAACCATTCTTCGCTCCATATTCTTGAGTTTCGGCCAATTCCACCATCTTCCATCAATCCAATTCCACACCATCGCCACTGTCCTCCTCAATTACTTCCATCCTCAGTGCCACGCCGCGAGACAGGAAGCCCATTCATCATCATCATCGTCTCTTTTATCTTCGCTTGTGCTGTCTGTTATGGCTTTAATCGCTGAAGCATACGGTGGAGCTTCAGTGATGCAGGGGCTTGGCTAAATCCTTCTATTCTCTAGAGCAATGGTTATGGCTTGAACTTAGAGTTTCAAAGGGGAGTTTCAACTCTTCTAATCTTTACTTCTTCATTGTAATTGTAATTTCTAGGTTTTAGAATCAATTTTATAATGTTTGAATGTGCTGTGATGATTTATATTTGTATTGAGATTGGTTGTAGCTGCTGGAATCTTTGATTAGCATTTAACATTATGCTGTGATTAGCTTTAATTTCTTTACATTGTACTGGGTCAAACTATGTTTTGATATTATTGTGAATATTTAGTGGTAATTCAAGGTGGTTTGGTTATTGGACTAAAAATGTTAATTGCTTTTCCTTGATTCTTTTTGGCTAATTGTGCTGAAACAGTTTAATTGTGAGTAATTAATATGCAAGGTGGCTTAGTATTGATTATTCTAATTAAACCGAGTCTAAGGGGTAGCCCTTAGAGTCTTTTAAATTTAGCTAACTCCCAAATTAATTGAAGTAATGATAGCCTAAATCATTGTACTAGAGAATTGTTCTTCCATTTGTTGTCACTTGTTAATTCTCTTTGTTTATTTCATTCATATCCATTTTATAAACTAAAAATCCAAAAATTATTTACTCATTTTGCATCCTTTTAAATTTTGCCAATTAGTTAGTTAAAAAGAAAATCAATTCCTTTTCAAGTCAATTCTTTATTTTTGATACTTAGTCAAAAGTCCCTCTCGCGCACACTGGACCTCCCCTTCTTTCTTCCCGCCGTCACTCCCTGTTCACGCTGCTGTGCCTCTCGTGTCCTCTCTCAATTTTTCTTTCGCCGCCCAGCTCCTAAGATGAAGGAGATTAGCATATTAGGTTGCGTTTTGCTCCCTTTTTCTTAAATTATTTATTTTATTTTATTTTATTTTCTTTTTTTTATTTTTTTATTTTTATTTTTCAAAATCTTTCAAAACCTACAAGCAAAAATTCAAAGATAAGGTAGCATTAATTGTCCTCAAAAAAATCAATTAGTCACAATTAAACCAAAATATGACAATTTTGCCCCTATAAAATAATAATTCAAAATAAAATATATTAAATCAATTAACAATCAATTAAAG